ACAGACACCAGAGTTTAAAATGACAGGTGGGAAAATACAACAGCGCTTCATTGGAGGCTGCACTGATAATGTTATCCAGTAGGGTAATGAAACGTCTGTGGAACAATGAATCAGCTCAGCGAGCCAACCAACCACAAGATTTAAGATGATTTGCTCAAAGATCAAATGTATTGTGAGAAAATAATTTTCACACAGCGAGTAGGTAGGATATGGAATGCACTGCCTGGAAGTGTGTGGATAGAAAAGGTATGGGGAGAAAGCAGGAAATTGGCAATATGTTATGATGCTTTTTGGAGAGCTGTTGCATACACCATGGGCTGAATGGCCCCTTTCTGTGCCATAACATTTCCGTGATTCTGTGAAGTTCCCCATCCCTCATGCAGCACTGGTCCCGGATAACTGTCCACCTTGATGTTTAGGTGACAGACCTCAGGTCTGCCCATGGCCAACTCCCTCGAGCAACTTAGCTGCCCATAGCCAAACAGTGAATGACCAGAATCCTAGCTGTCATCTGTACAGTTTCCAACTACATACCTTTGATTTTGCTGAGCAGATGTACTAAACCCATTAGGCTGACTGAGACCCACTCCCCAGACTAAAGAGGTATGACTGCCTGATGGGCTGACTGACAGTGCTCAAGCCCCTGGATTGAAATCAGAGGCTGCCCATGACTTACTGTGATAGGATCCCTGACTGAATACTGTCTCTGGAGTTGACTGAAGACTAACCCTCTTAGATTTTGGAGAAATGGCTATTTGCATGTGTAGTGTCTTTGGCATGTACATAGCTGGTACATGGTGCAGATGAGAAACTGGCCTAGCAATGTCCAATCCCTTGACTGATAATTATTGAGATGCATGACAGATTGACTGGGATAAACAGCAAGGCAAGAAAGGAATACCGTGATTCTTCATGGTCTAACGGAGGGGACAAGCCACAAAAAAGACAAGACAAGGCAAGGCAAGGCAGGGAAGCTGTGAGCATGAGGTAGCTGCAAAGTGAGCTGCAAAGAGAACAAGCTAGCAGCCTGAGATGCAGTGTGATCCAGTCCATAAACTGGGTGACTGTTTGTGCTTGCAAAGTGTCCTTGCAGTAGTAATTCAATGAGGTGGTAGACTGCTTCAAAGTACAGCGTTAAAGTATACAAGGGTACTGCAAGTGGATTGATGATATGCCCCATGATGATACATTGAGGCTGGTCCATGTTGGATGCCATTATCCTTGGATATAGAATGCATGCAGCTGTTGTCCATGGAATGGATATAGATGTTGCTGCCGATGTTAAGGTTAGAGGTCTGGAGATGCAAGTGGTAAGCTAGAGATGCCAAATACCTGCTTAAACATTCATGTTGGAAATTTGTGGTATCCAGTTTCTATCCTGTGTGTGGGAAAATGGGAGAATGCATATTAATGAGGTGAGATTAAGTTTCAATGAGAGTGATAATCAGCAATAATCCCCATTAATAGGCCTCCTGTTGCTCACTAGCAAGAAGTCTTGATGTCCTAGACTTGGTTGGATAAAAGTTACTTTTTAGTCCTGACATCGAGAAAGGTATTCCTTCACCTCTCACCCAATTTTCCCCCTTTTTTTGCCATAACCCACATTGCTCCAGGCCTGGGAAGGTTCCACCCACTACCTGGACATACAGGGTTCTATATGCAAATAGGTCATCTGACTGGTCTTAATCGGTGCACTGAGGTGAACAGTTTTATGAAAGAAAAGGGATTACAAGCTGAAATAACTCCACAGAAGCCAGTATGCTGTCACCAAGCCACCCTTTATTTACACATGGATAATACATGATACTGAGCCAGCTAGCTCAGAGCCAGCTCCTGGAGTGAGCAGAACCCCTGACACTCTAGTTTATACATTTCAGCCAGGAATGTCTGATTGGACCAGGTTAACAGCCCCAGTCAGGGGACTCATATTCTGTAAGGTCCACCTGCCTGACCTCATTCCATTCACTACATCCCCCCCACCCCTCTAAGCCCTGGGATGTAGGCCCGTTCTTTTTACTGTAGCGTCTCCTGGGGTATTTTCACACCAGGTCCAGTTCATCAGTCTCAGCCTCGGATACTGGTGACGTGTACTGGACTATAGCTCATCTCTTGCACCCAAGCATCTTGGAAGAAATTCATCTTTTCTCAGGCAGTAACAGTGTCAAGGCTGTGATATCTGCTATGTCCATCTTGGCTTCAGACGTTTCTTTGACACGAGACAGAACGATGTTCTGAGGGGCTGGGTATGTTTTGCTCCTGTCCTATTTGCAAGGTTACAGCTTTGATGTGGTCCAAATGCTTGATCAGGACTGCCTCTCTTACCTGAACTTTGTATATCACAGGACCTGATTTTGCGTCGACCATGCCTCTTACCCATGCAGGGCCATTTCTGTGGTTTCGACACCAAGTTTTGTACCCTGAAATAAACTGTTTCTCTCACTTAGTGGAATCTTCTGTCTGGCATTGGCGTTCCTGGTTCCAACACCCCCACCCCACCTCCCCAGGCCTGGGAAGATCAGATCTAACCTGGTGTGGAATCTTCTTCCCATTAGTAACTCTGTTAGAGCTGTCCTTGTAGTTGTGTCCTATAATCAAACAGCAACTGGCACTGTTTGGTATTGAAGCTGCAGGCTGTTTCTTTAAGCCCACCTTCAAAGTTTGGACTGGTCTTTCTGCCAGACCATTGGACAATGGAGCTGTCCTTATATGTTGAATTCCATTCGCCTTTAGAAAATACTTGAATTCCTTGCCGGTACATGATGGTCCATCATCTCACAACTTTTCAATCATTGTCCCCATGTTTGATGAATGAGCTCCATGCATGTCCAACCACTTTGAATGGGCTAATGACTAAATGGCAATGATTAAAACATACAGCCCATGTAAAGGCCAGCATAGTCGATGTGTAACCCCAACTCCAGGGTTTACTCTGCCATTCCCATGAATGTGGGGGAGCTGCTGATGGTAATTTTTGTCCTTGTTGGCACTCTGGACATCGCACCACCAATGCAGCTATATTAGTATTCAATCCTGGCCACCAAACATAGCTTCTCGCCAATATCTTCATTTTCAAAACCCCTGGTAGAATCCTGACAGAATCTGGTGGTGACCTTTGCTCCGGTCAGTCACGCTTCCTCCCCATAATAAAATGCCATCCTTTATGGTGATCTGGTCTCACGAGGTCCAGAAATGTTTTAGTTCTGGTTGTGATGGTCCTTTTATTTCCCCTGAACAGATCTTTTTGTGTCCACAGTCTGATATTGTCAATAGCGAATGAAAGGGTGTTCAGAAAGTTTAAAAGCAGGAATGGACTCTTCCATTGGTGGTGTATTTGCCAGCTGGAGGTAGCTCAAGGCATTCGCATTTGCTACTTGGCCTCCTAGACAGTGTTCCAACTTGTAATTATACACACTTAGAATGAAACCACACCACTGAATTTGACCTGAAGCTATGGACAGCATGGCCCTGTCCTCTTTAAGTAGATGTAGCAGGAGTTTGTGGTCTGTAACTATTAAAAATTTACATCCATAAAGGTATTGGTGGAACTTTCTTAGACCAAAGATGACAACCAAATCTACCTTCTATATCTGGGCGTATCTTTGTTTGGCATCAAAATTTGGGAAGCATATGCTATCAGGCATTCTTCTCCATTGGGCCACTGGTGAGCCAACACTGCATTGATACTATATCAGGTGGCATCACATGTCCACACTGCATCTTGCTTGGGATCATAGTATGCCAACACCTTAAATGACAACAGCAGCTCCTTCACTTCCCTATAGGCTACATCTTGACTATGAGACCATTTCTAAAGCTGATCCTTTTTAAATAGCAAATGTATGGATCCCAGGATGGAGGCCAGGTTATGTACCAATTTCCTGTAATAATTCACCAACCCAAGCAAAGACCTAAGCTCCTGTACAGACGTGGGAACCGGGGCAGTTTTGATTGTCCTCACTTTATCTTCCAAAAAGTGTAACCCAATCTTTTCAACTCTGTAGCCCAAGTATATCATTTGGATGCCTGGAATACAATTTTCTGTCCTAAGACCTACCTCCACCTTGGAAAACGTTTAAGCACCATATCCAAGTTCTCTAAATGCTCTTTATTGGTCTTCCCAGTTATTAGGATGTCATGCAGATAAATGGTGACCTGGGGTAGACCTTGTAAAATGTTCTCTATCATCCACTGGAAAATGTCACAAGCTGATGATACTCCAAAAGGCAGTCTCGTATATCCGTTCAAACCTTTATGGGTATTAATTGTAGCATACTTCTCTGAATCTTCATCAAATCACAATTGCAAATACGCATGTCTCACGTTCGACTTCATGAAGGACAGCCCCTCCCAGTCAATTTTGCATGTAAGTCCTCCATGCCAGGGACTGGGTATTTATTCAGCCGCGAAAAGCAGTTAACCATTTGTTTGAAATCCCCACAAAGGCGAACTGACCCACTGGATTTCACAATTGGTACGACTGGTCTTCAACAGCAGAATCGAATGAGTCAGGCTTCCCAAATAGCGGCAGGATGCCAGTAATGCTTACCCCAACTCAAAGATGACTATTGCAAATGAATCTCTTCAGAGGCATGATTTTTTCCTGCCGCCACTGAAATAACTCCACAAAGGTCGGTATCCCATCACAAAGTCACCCTTTATTTACATACGCATAGTACGTGACAGTGACCCAGCCAGGTCAGAGCTGGCTCCTGGAGTGAGTAAAACCTCTGACACTCCTGTTCATATCTGTCAGCCAGGACTCCCTGATTGGACCAGGTTCACAGTCCCAATCAGCGAACTCATATTCCATGAGTTCCACCTGGCTGACCTCATTCCATCACTACACTAGACAAGTAAATATTGTTGGAACTATCTAAGTTTAACTGCGTATCATGAGGTGTTAACCTGTTGAGTAGTGGACATTTTCATGCCTCTGGTTTACATTCTGGATACTTTGCCTCATTATAAATGTATGATTGATGAAAAATGACATTACCTACCGCTATCAGCAGCAACTGATGAATCATCATAGTCAGACTCATCTCCTAAAATTAGTTTAAATAAAGACAAGTTTAATTAAGATCAACTACAGTTTAAAAAAAACGCTCAGTGCTGCAAGCAAAGATTGAAAAAAACAACTTACTTACAACAAAAGGCTGCATTGCGTTTCGAGTCACTGGCAAAACCCACTGAATGAAGAAACATTAATTACTCTATTATTCTGTCTGATGTTATAATCAAAGCATAGCATAAACCATGTGTACAAGCAAAACTTCCAGAATCAAAGAATTGTTATCAATTTGAATAGGTACAGAATCAAATGGCTGTCAGTTGCTAAGTCGAAAACCCCACATCATCACCACTAGGTACTAGCATTCAAATTAAACACTGGTATTACATAACATGATAAGCAATTTTGAAGTCACTGAGGGATAATGTAACCTATTTCATAAATTGTATCAAAGTGCTGAGAAGTTATTTGGTTAATTGTTTCTGTGCTGTACGTCTCTTTGATTCTAATTGCTTCAACAACCCTGTCAACCTGATTACAATGCCAAGTTTTGTTCTTTTCCACTATTTTAAAAACTACCTTAGAACTTCTATCCCCAATCAGACTGTTTTCTTTTTAAAGTTGGTTAGCTTAGTTGTCTGTCCAGCTGGTTTGTGATGTATAATGATGTCAGCAGGGTGGGTTCAAATCCTGCACCAGCTGAGGTAATCATGAAGGAATCTTCTTCACAACTTCTTCCCTTACCCGATGCATGGTGACCCTCAGGTTAATCCACCACCAGTTGTCTCTTTCAAATGAGAGAGCAACCCTATGGTCTGATAGGACTATGATGACTTTATTTAACTTGCACAAATAGTTCTATTAATTTTAGTAAGCAATGTTGACATTCTTAGAATAAAAATTACAAAGTATTTAATGCACTCATAAAACACTATTTTATCCATTTCTTTTACGAAGGCATTAACCCATTTACAATAACTAGAATCAGCTCTTCCTTGCATGACTAAAGTTCTATAACAAATAACCATGTCCACAATATTTGTCAAATGAGATTTATCTTTTTCATGGGATGTGGGTGTCAATAGTATTTGTTGCCCATCCCTAATTATCCTTGAACTGAGTGGCTTGTTCGGCCACTTTAGAGGGCAGTCAAGAATGAACCTCATTGCCAGTCACTTGTACGTCAGTTTGGATAAGGTTGGCACATTTCCCCCCCCCGCACATGACATGAGTGAACCAGATTTAATTTTATGACAATTGATGATAATTTTATAGTCACCATGACTGAAGCTTTTAATTCCAGATGTTAATTGAATTAAAGTTCCAAAAGCTGTCGTGGTGAGATTTGAACACTTGTCTCTGAAACAAAAATAACCTGGATCTCTGGATTGCGAGTACAATGATATATCACTGCATTGCCATCTCCCCCTTTAGGGATAATATTACTTTGATTTTCCTCCTCCAATTTCACCTGTTCTTCTGATGTGCCTGGCTTGTGTTGATTCAACAGGTGTCACCAGTCCTTAACACACCTGACCATTCTTTAAGTATACCAAATGAATATTTTAAAAATTATTATTACTGAAGAGAAATTATAGCCAAGTTAATGCTGTCCTCACCCAATGTCCAGATATCATTGGAACCAGCGAAATATAAGGCCTGTGTTAGAAGCCTTTATTATCACCACTATCTCCTTCAGCAGACTATCTCACCTTGCAGGATTCTCATTTGCTTAAGGTGAATGAATGTTCCCCTGTATCAACATATTACATATTATGTAAGGCATTAAGAAGATTCTGCATTCCAACTCTGATACACATTGTAGGGCACTAATTGATCCAAGTATCTGAAAAATGTTTTGAACAAACTGAAGGTTCATTTTGCAGCTTTAAGTTAAGCTCTAAATGGTTTCAGACCTTAAGTTGATTATCCACAGTCAAGTCCAGGACCAGTTACCTCATTAAAAACAAATGAGGCATTATAGATAAACTCAACATGAAAACTTGATGTGTTGACACTGGAGAGTTTTCTGAGAACTCAATATTAAGATTTGCTACACTGACTACAAGTTGGCCATTTTGGTGTTATTCTTTCGTGTTAGCATGTGCTACCACACTGTAGCTAGATATCTACTGTTCAGATACAATCCAAGAATTTCAAAACCATCATAAAGCTATGGTTGTATAGAAGCATGGATGATTCTAGCATGATCCAATTATTATTGTGTTAGTCCTTATTAGAATAACTGAATGTTGTGGAATCAGTTATGCTCATGTCGTTTTAATAATGGAGTCGTCAGTGTGGAAAACTAGTTTAAGTTACTATGACAATGGTAATCAGTCTGTGTTGTAATGTAGGAAATGTAGCCAATTTGCATTCAACCAGCCCAGTTAAGAGCAATCAGTCAATGATCAGATAATTTGTTTTTGTGTTTATGTTGATTGAGATATAAGTATTGGTTGGGACAGTGAAGTTAATTCCCCTGCACCACGCATTGAAAAACAAATCATTACATAATCCAGCCATCTTAACTCTGAAAAATACAAGCGAGAAACTGTCTTTTGCTCAGAAACATAGATAAATGTTTGAAAAAAAATGTACGTTACAATTATTTGAGTACACAAATACAATGTAATAATGGATATTTGACTGGGATGCATTTGTGTGTATGTATCATCTGTTTAATGATACAGACTATCTTAGACTCTCATGGTGATAAGTACAACCGTATCATATGTTTTTCTGCAGAGTAACATTTACCTTTAAGATGCTCCCCCCCAAGAGATGTTTTGATTTCCTCCTCAAAGCTATTCTTTCAAACTTGGTTCAAAATTGTGTTGAACTGTTCAGCTTGGTACTGCTCATAATTGTGGGTGAACATAACAACTTCTAGGTCAATCCAATATGATGTTCATTTTTCCTGCAGACCTTGAAGACACTTTGATAAAAGTGTAATTTTGTCCAACCAATATTGTGCAAGTACCCTGCAATAAGTGTGCATTCAAAGAAAGCACCACCACAACAAAGGTAATGCAAATTTGTAGCAATATTCAACAATGTGGTCTTTCAGTTAATTTGCCTGTAGAATGTTTCCCAATTTATTGGAGCAAAGGTTAATTGTCTTCATTACAGTGATTGTACTGAATAGCAATAATGATGAACAAATAATTCTTATTCAATTTGTCATTACTGCGTTGAGATTTCTTTTGGGTGTGACTACAGATCTAGACATACACATCACATTATAATTAATAATATATATATGGTTTAATTTATTTGGATCCATCCCACCTTAATTAGCTCCATTGTGGGTCTGAAGCCACTGGTATCAAGTTACCTAATAAAGTTTATCCTGATAAACTTAAGCTGTGAAATTAAAGTATGTAATACTAAAACAATGGAAACTCTCAGCAGGTGAAGTAGTTTCTGTGAAGAGAGAAGTATAGATTCTGTGTGGAATTTTTTCATTTTCAGTTGAAGTGTTTTTTCCAGTGTGATGTTCAGCATCAGTCGCAAAGTGAGTGGGGGCAAAGATCTTGATCTTGCTCCAGTTACCTCTTCTGCTCAAGTACTCATAGGGGGAGGAGAAGCCACACACAGACCTCCCACAAGATTTTTCTTAAGACATTCCTGACGTTCCCAGACCCTCCATCCCCACCTCCGCCTCTGATGCCAAAGCCTGTAGAAGTCCATGTCTGGAACAGTGACCCTGAATTTGGGCAGGATACATCCAGCAGGCATGGACTGTCTAGGCCCAAATGAATCTGGTGATGTCCACTTGTGTTTTTCAAGTCAATTACAGAGCAGGATCCCTCCATCCAGCTGTGAAAGTTGACTACATTTAGATGTAGTGGGAAGGAGAGAAAGGGAAAAAAACTAAGGCTGTGCAGTGACACAGTATGAGTGACACATAACTGTGAATAACTTTTTGTTTACAAATTACATCCTCACTTGCATTCTTAACATGTCTAGTCCATGTCATTTTCACTGTAGGACCTGATTAAGTAGCATCCATGTAAGAGATGAAACATTTTCAGAATTGCAAGAATGAAAGGAATTGAAATGGCCAATAATTCTTCATTTCACCAGCAACCAACTACTTGATTACAGATAGCGTCAGATGTCATGAATCCTTTAATTGTGATGTTAAGGACTGCAGTCAAGCCATTACAAATACTGAGGCTAAACACTGTATGCAGGGATTATTTGAAGTCTTGGCCTGTATACACTTATCCATGCTTATCCATCCATCCTGAGGCAGCGGTGCTAACCACTAAGCCACCATGCCACCCTATTGGACAATTCATGTGTCCATGCATGGAAGGGGAAGGTGCCAAAAGGTGAATACCTTCCATTTAGCCAGCACCATCATTCTGGAGTGCCAGGGAAGAAAAAAATCATCATTGTAAAAATCCTGCCTTCACTGTGGGGCAAATGTGGGGAAGGTAGTGTCACCTTTACTTTGTCTCGCTGCAACATTTTAAACTAGCAGCAGTAATTTAGTTTTGTTTTTGGAGGATAACCATAGGACACCCATTCATCATTCTTCCATTCCCAATACTCCAGGCATTTTTTATTTGAACCTTTCTCAATCTCATTAGTCTTCTACCACCAACAGATTTTCCCTTTTCTTCTTATTTCAACCTCCCTCTTTCATTTACAACTTTTATATTTCTAACATATCCCAGTTCTAATCAAAGGTCATAAATCTAAAACATTAACTCTCTCCATAGATCTTACCTGGCCTGATTACTATTTCTAACATCCAGTAGTATTTTGCTTTTGGATGAATGTCTACTATAACAAATATCTACATGGATGCAGTTATTAACTTGGCATCAAAGTAGAAGTTCAATTTACAGCTAAGCAGACAAACTAGCCCTCTTACCAGTTACTTCACTGTGATATTTTTGATCCATTAAACATGACATATTGATCCAGTGAATTGGATTCAATTCACAATCTAATATGACACCACATGCGATCAATCTAAAACTATTTTCATGAATGAAAATTTGCTGCTGTAGAGTATGTAATTTGGTCAATACATATTGGGCACATTCTCATATTACTGTCTGGGCATTAAGACAAAAACCAAAAGAAATAAAATTTTAGCATTTCTATATAGGGGATGGAGGTGGTGGTGGGGTTTGCTGGAGAAGCAGGAGATGTTGTATGGCAACTGTAATGCCTGTGTCATCCAGGTGATAGATTGAACATCTAACTCATCATATTTATATAAGAAATTCTCTTTGCTGTGATCAAAATTAAAAACAAGAATATTACACTAGGAATCAATATGTATTTGTACAAAAATTATTATTTGCAAGATTTCAATCTTACCTGCTGTATCAGTCCAATAAAAAGATGAATCAAAAATATCTAGAAGGCAGGAGAAAATTTTAAAATATTATCAAATGAATATCATTACTAAGTAAAAAAAGTTTGAAGTTAGTGCTAACATTGCACCTATTAACCTTGTCAATCACACTGCTTTTTAACTATCATGTCACTCTGAAAGACTGCTTTTTTTTAGAAAAGAGAAACAATTACCCTGAGTAATGCATGGAAACAGAAACCCCCCGCAGAATATTTTTTGGGTAGTTAGAGTATACTAAAATTCAGGTTACAAAAATTAAAAAGGGTATTTAGTTATTCACCTGAGCATGTATGTTCTGTTCAAATTTGAATAATAGAATCATTAGATCACAAAGGCAACTATTTGGCAAAGAAAGAAACTGTACCCTGCCAATTTCTTTAATTGGCAGAAATACCAATTAAAGGTATTTGGCAAAACAAATAATGTTACATGAAGCAAAATTTCTGCTATGCTGTAAGTGGTTATGATCTGGAATGCAATACAGAAGTTAAAAATTCATATAAGTGCAGTGAAAATTAATGTGGAATTTTAAACTACATTTTGCAAACTGCTGCAAATGAAGGTAGATGCCATGTTTATGTAGATTATTTATAGTATTTGTTTGGCTTTTGAATCCAAAGTTAAATTCATGATTATTATTATTTGCAATTAACACTTCAATTACATTAATCCAATTAACCACGCAGGGCTTGCATTTGGGATTGGCCTTATCTTGAGGAAATAAGCAGCAGAAGGCTCACAAACAGGAAAACAAAATCTCCAATAGCTTTTTGATAATAGTTTGAAATAGCCAGCTACACAGATATGAGGAATATACAAAGTTTTCTTGTCCCAGAACAGAATGTTTATGTACCTGTAGTGAGTTTGCAGAGTTGAATTGTACTTTTTGGTTCAATATGGCATTGTACTTTAGGTGGGGTAGTGGAGCAATTAGTTAGAATCTTTTAATGGTCCTGGAAAAATCATTTTACTGGTGATTAGAACTATGGCTGCCCTTCAAAAGTACATCATTTACTGTAAAATGCTTTGGAATACACCAAAACCACAAAAACAAGCGAGATAAATGTTAATCCTTTTTTATCTTCTTTGACTGAAGTCTGCAGTCCCTTTCAGTACTTTTCCTTTTCTTGTGCAACAGTAATTTTGGTTCAAAATTGCACAGCTTCACCTAAGGAAAATTACAGTAGAGTGCATGATCTATGTTTAGGATGGACATCCATCCCATATCTCTGCCATGTAGAGTGGTTGCCCATGATTTATCTCTTCATAGACTGCACATTTGTGCTTTGTGTAGCTTGAGAAAACAATCATTACAACAGACATTTATTCCCATTAATTGGCATGTTATCATTTTCTTATTTCAAAATTCATCCACCAACAAGGCAGGTGTTAACAGCCTTTTGTCAAACTTCAAATGGAAAACAAACCTGTGGAAAAACAAAATGCACAAAATGGCGTAGTTGTTTGAACTTTGGATTCAAATGCTAGGGTTTCAATATCATAGCTATACACCATTGCTCAAGAACAATGATATCATCATTTAATTAGCTAGAGTGTAAACCGCACAGATATAAAAGCAGTTTTAATTCAGCTCAATGGTTTTCATTTAATTAGCCAGAAAATAGGATGGGACAAATAGTGTGATCCTTGGTGCACAGGCATTTTGGAGCAAGAAGCTGACCTTCTTGGCATATGCTAAGGTAAACCCATTACAGAACATAAACATTCAATGGTCAGTGTACCTTATGCTAAAAGCAGAATATAATGAAGACCAATGAAGAACAAATTGTTTGCTCCCATATATGAGGACAGTAGTTTATTCTCCCTATTTATACAGTATGACAGAAAGAATGAACTGAGGTGACACAAATCAGGAGAAACTGCTGGAAGAGGGACGAGAATGGTGTCATCCTTAGTGTGGTTAGTAGCTTTGTACTCCACAAAAACACTGCGATTCCTCCCAGATAACATTTCAGTAATCCTAGTGATGTGTTGGAGGACAGATTATAGGACGAGAGTCACATCCTAAAAACTTCTTAAAACACTGGTATCTGGAGTTATGAGGAAAGCAATATGAGCTGTTGTGGCAGCAAACTGAGCTTGTACCAGAGCAGTTTGAACCAATATGGCAGTGAATTTAGTTTCCATAACTTTAGTCTGAGATTCCACTTCAGCATTCATATTTTATGTTGGTTCTGTTTGTGCTGCAATTGAAACATCAGCTATTACAGGCTGCATCATGGTTGGGTTCATAATAAATGTATTAATTCCCCTTCATTGCTATTTTCCCTAGCCCTAGGTCACAGACTTACCTCATTACCTATACACCATACCAATATGGTGCCCTGCTTGTTGTATTCTCCCACTTGCCTCAGGCAGAAGTACTGACCACTTCCAGGACCTCCTGGGAATCCTAGTGCTGTGCTACTGGGAATATGAACTGTCATGATCGGTTCATCCTATTTGACTCAGACATTGTGGACAGGGGTCAATTGGCCCTACTTTGCTGACAGGGATTTAGAGGTCTTCCAGGACCGAGTGTGTGCAGTTAACACCGTTAAGAGTGTGCTCTGAGACGTTTGTGACTGATGGATGTCTGGAGGAGCAAATAGTGAACTGGAATCATCAGGCAACCTCATTTTGAGAAGTGTCACTGTCTAGTTTCTATCTGGAAGGTAGGAGAATGGGAAACTGTATTTCAATGGGATCAGATGATGTAATAATGAATGTTAATTAATAGATGATACATGCAAATAGGCCTCTCATTACTCACTAGTGAGAATCTTATCTTGCCATTCAAATTTTGGTTGGAAAATGGGACATTTTGTTCGTAATGCTGGAAAGCTCATCGCCACCGGTCTCACATGATTCTTCCAACTTTCTCACAAATGCCTATGTTGTTTAGTGCCAGGGAAGGTTCCAGCCACTGTCTCAGCTTATGACACTTATTTCCGTAAAAGAGAGGAAAGAATAATATTGGATATTGTGCAATGTGCTTGGGTGATGTGGCTATTGTGGCTAAATAGCTGACGGCCTATGCAAGCTATGAATTGTGAGTGTGAGGTTGCAGCAGTGTTAAATGTGTAGAGGTGTCATGAAACCATGAAGGTTATCTGTCATGATTGATCAGTGTTGTTGGTGGGTGAGAGATGGGGATGTGGAACTTCCGTATGTATGTTACAATTTCTGAAATACGGCATTTCATTGAACCTGACTGCACTTCACTCTATCTAGTCTACTGTATTCGCTGCTCACAATGCGGTCTCCTATTCACTGGGGAGAGAAAAAACAGACTGGGCAACCACTTTGTAGAACAGAGATAGTAGGAACTGCAGATGCTGGAGAATCCGAGACAACAAGGTGCAGGGCTGGATGAACACAGCAGGCCAAGCAGCATCATAGGAGCAGAGAGGCTGACGTTTCGGGCCTAGACCCTTCATCAGAAAAGGGGGAGGGGAAGGGGGTTTTGAAATAAATTGGGAGAGAGTGGGAGGCGGGTATCCCCTCCTCCCACCTCAAGCCGCACCTCCATCTCCTACCGACCAACCTCATCCCGCCCCCTTGACCTGTCCGTCCTCCCTGGACTGACCTATCCCCTTCCTAACTCCCTACCTACACTCACCTTTCCTGGCTCCATCCCCGCCTCTTCGACCTGTTTGTTTCCTCTCCACCTA